GGGGGGGGGACTCCCTAATATCAAAGGGCGGGGGTCCTCGGCGTCCCTTTTAGGGTTTGAAATCGGTATTTTGGTCCCGCTTAGGGTCATAATGACGAGAATTTCCCCCAACTGAGTTTTGTGGTCCCTTTTAGGGTATATGACGTCCCTAAGCCGTCATATTTCCTATGAAAGGTAGGTGCTGCATTCAACTAAAACAAAATGACCTGTTATTGATTGGTCCCYTTTAGGGGTGAAATTTCAGCACTGCCACGCCCATCATCTCCAAACACAGGTCCCTCTTAGGGGTCATTTTCATAATTTCCGCCGAGGAGCCCCGCCCTTTGATATTAGGGAGTCCCCCCCCCCGGGGCCTAAATGTATTGTAAGTATCGGTATTCGTTTGTAAATATTCTTGTAAGTAGTTTTTTTGAAGCCTTTGTATTTATTTTTCGCTAGGAACTTGAAGTTAAAGTAAATAATTCTAATGTTACGGTACATGGCCGGTTATYRATTATTTCAGTAGACGCTACAGGCTGTTGAAACACAGCTGTTTATTCGACTGACAAGTCTTGACAAGTTTCTGGGCTGTTCTGCTTTTTAGACTGTGTGYCACATCAAGAACAGACCATGTTTGAATGAAGGAAAATGCGAAGTAACAAACGATAATCACCGTTGTAAATGTGGACAAGGACTTATGGGAGAACAGTGTCAAGGTARGTCGCATTCACAACCCAGTCAATGCCAACGCTCCACTTTCGATATTTTGGTTGAACGGTCATTCACAAGAGAATTGATCAATTCTTTGGTGCATGAGGACGAGGCTCAGACGAATCAAAAGAATTTTGTATTTTTTAACATATATTTACCATTATTGCCATCATCGTTGCAGCTGTTACAACTACCATTACAAGCATTGAATAGTTTCCATTCAGCATCGATATCATTGTCATTTCCAATTGGCGACTTTCAAAAATAGCCGCGGTCGCCAACCAGGACACTGGGGATAAAGCACTTAAATTGAGGTCCCAAAGGCCAGCCTCCGTATACTAAACTTCCATAGTGTTTTGCAATAGTTTTATTGTCATAAATAACATGCTAATGCATCTTTCAAACTTTGACACTGCCATACAAATATGTGATCTTCGTAGTGATTTCTAGATGTAATGCCTTTGAGGTCTCGTTTCCATGATAAACGCCATTTGAAAGTCGTGTATGGCATTACCATTCAATACTCCATTTTACAGTTCCAAGCGCCATGAAAGATAGCCGTGCCTTTGCATCAAAKTGAGACGGAAGTTGAGCCTGCAGTGCGGTAGATACCTGTGAATATTTGTCTTAGGTGCGAACAAAAGGTATCTATTACTGCAGGCTCAACTCCTCATGTCTCGCTTTGATGCAAAAGCTTGGCTACCTTTTAAGATGGCACTTGGAACTGTGAAATGGAGTATTTGCCATAGTTAGCTTGTGTTTCTTTAGAAGGAATCTGGTCACAATGGAACCAGTGGTCCAATTGTCTACCTTCTGTGTGTGTTCCAAAGCGAGTCAGAGAGTGCAGTGCTCCTGTTCCATATAACAACAGCTGTCGTGGACCAGCGGTAGAAACCAATTCGACATGCCCAGCACCATTAGCTATCGACATAAATGGTAACAATATCAAGGAAGCGATTTTATGTCTGTTTTCAAAATCGAATTTCAGATGAAGCAAACGTTATGTTTACAACGTTGATTTTAAGATCCGTCCAAACATTTTAACACGGATGTTGATACAAAATAGATATTCCATCAKGTACATAACCAGAAGTGTCCATCTCGCTTATAATATCGCCACCATCAGATGTCCCATAATCATCTATTTTTAGACAACCAATCACAACGCGCTCACATATAACACGGCAACTGATTGGTCCTTGCTGATACTACTTCAAGACAAGAAAGTAAAGTGTAGTCGATGGAGGCGAACRAAGTGAAGTTTGCATCACGAGAATTTTACACTTTTTGCCGAACAACCATTTCAGAATTTGATAGAAAACATTCTCTTCGTTCGCCTCCATCCACTTCCATTCACTTCGTTCGCCTCCATCGACTAAATTGTCCTTTCTTGCCTTGAAGTAGTATCAACAAGGACCAATCAGGTGCTGTGCTACATGTGCGCGCGTTGTGATTGGTTGTCTAAAAATAGATTATCGGGACATCTGATGCTGTCGATATTATAAGCGAGATACACCTACTTGCAGAAACGTTGTCATAGAAAATAGAACATTCGTATTTAGATAAAAGGAATAAATTGAAACAAGACAAAAGAAAGCGTTCAGCCTCAGTGATCTTCTTTTGTCTTTTTAACGTATTCCTTTTTTACTAAATACAAAAGTCCTATTTTTTATGACAACGTTTTCGCAAGTAGGTGTATACACTTCTGGTTATGAACTTTTGATTCCATTTATTTGATGTGATAAGGAATGTGCTTCAAAATATGTGTTTAAAAAAGAGTGATAATACTCCATTTTGCAGTTCCAAGCCTTTGCATATCTATTGTTTATTATKATTGTAGGATGTAAGCAGCCAATGGGGATGGAGGATGGAAGAATAAAGGACGCACAGATCACTGCCTCGTCGTATGCCTTTTCTGACAGAAATACTCAACACCATCCAAAGTATGATACACTATAAATAAATCATAGATTGATGTTGCTTCGGAATTGTATGAAYAATTACTTTTAAATATACATAACAACATTTGAGAAGTTCGATTGATCCGGTTTGAAGATATTTTTATCACGGTTAGCGAGTTGTCGGTCGGAATTGAAATCCGGCCCGCTCAGGGTTTTTTTTTTAGCGCAAGGTTGAGGTCAGGTTGCAGCTGTTCGCCATGTCAACTCTACTTGCGATCGATCATGCCTTATCAAATTCATTAATAATTCATGAGGTAAGCACAATGAAAAATCATTGTCGAGACCGCATCTTTATATGAGCAAGAGATTTGTCCTGATTTGCATACGTCTTTTCGATTTTCTCTTAAAAATGATGTTTATCTTGAAGGTGTTTGCAGGAATTTGATAAGCTCGCTTGCAGCTCGCAGTTCAATGCCCATAAAGGTCGGACGCGAATATTTTATATATATTACACAGCCCAGTTATAAGTTAGAACTTGTTAAAATCATATACACATGCGTAGCATGGAATATCCAATTTTAGTATAATTTCATAAGTGAATATCATAATTCTAGCGCGCTGATTGGTCGAATTTGACGCTTCAATGAGCGATGTTCACCTATAGGTGAATATTGGATTTTTTCGCAAAATGGCGTCGTCCGCGAGTCGTTGGATTAAACAATTGGATTAAAAAAAATTGGATTAAATCTTTTAACAGGTAAGTTTTGTTTATTTAATAATAAAAACRTTTTCTAAAACTACCTTTTTATCTATCGTTTTACGTCAAACAGGCTGAAATTTGTAGGTTTTCGCCTGGTTTGTTTACATTTTACTCGATACATTTTTTGACAGAATGGTTTCAACAACAGTCTGAATTCACTGTCAGCTTTGAAGACATGGATACAAGTGAATTARACAAGTGTCTATCAAAGTGTCCATAAGAAAGAAAGATGGAAATTATTACAAGAAGACGACTTTGCTGTCAATCCGAGCGGCTCTCGACCGCCATCTTCAATCCGCGCCACATAACATTTTACGAAAATGCAGTAGTTCTTTTTTCTCTATTTTTATGAATATTCACTTATGAAATTATACTAAAACAATTATTCACCTCAGGCTCAGTGATTATCAATGAATATTTACCTCGCGGCTCGCGGAATCGCCGCTCGGTAAATATTCATTGATAATCACTTCGCCTTCGGCGAATAATTGTTAARTATATTTTCTCGCGATTATGGGAATGRAGTGATGGCGACCAAGAATAGGGAGCTTTATAAGCATCCAAAGAAGACGTGGACGAAGACCGCGACGGGGCAAAAGTATATTCAACAAACTGCGCACGGTTTTGAGTTTTTAGATCGTCATTAAATGTTCAAAATTCAAACGATAAACATTTTATGACGTCATACAGTGTATCAATAAGAGGACATAAAATAGGCAATGTGCTGCGACGCCATTTTGTGCAACAAAGCATGATGTTAGTTGTAGTCCTCGTACTTATCATAGATACTAAAATATCTCCTTAAGCACCGTTTTAACATTTTTTTTTGTAGAAACGTTAAAACTACTTCTATTTTTGCTTAGAAAAAGCAAAAACTGCTTAAGAGGACTGTTGTAGCGGACCATCATGCTTTGCTGCACAAAATGGCGTCGCTGCACATTTCACAAATCAGCTGGAAGCAGGCAATGTGAAGTGAAATGCAACAAAGCATGATGCGAGTTGTAGTCTTTTTTACTAAAATCCTTGTCCATGATTTAAATGGCACAGCTAACTATTGTATTTTTTTGCAAAGAAAATCAATAACGGCTTAAAGGGACATGGTCCACTAGCATGCAATGCGGTCGTGTTTTAGATTTTTCATATACCGTATTTACTCGAATAGACGCCGCGGCGTTATATTTCATTTTTCACGATCCAGGTGCGGCGTTTATTCGAGGGCGGCGTCTATTCGGGGRCGGCGTTTATTAAAAAACACTTTATTCAGTACTACATACAGTACTTTATATTGTATCTTTTTACTTACAAACAGTAACGAATCTCAATATACAAATGTCGTGTTCATTTTGTCTATTCAATTTATGATTTTAACCAAAGTGAAACTTCTATTTCAACATCAATGTCCTCCTCGTGGTCGGAATCTWACAGCTGCTRAGAGCAAAAATGTACWGTCACTTCGAAATAAAAAATGYTCYAAAAGAAAATAAATTCCCATTGCTGGTATCATTATTTCTTGAAATTGACGCCCCACCCAGATGCGGCGTCTATTYGGGGGCGGCGTCTATTCGAGTAAATACGGTATGGAAAATGAGGTGATTCGAATATCCATTTGCAATCCGTTTCCATCCATCGGTTTAACTGTCGAATCGTAAAGCATCTCCATTCATATAGGATAAAGGAATAATAAAGAGTAAGTTTTTGCTTATATTACGATGTATTTCTGTTTTCAAACATAAACAAAAGCTCCAAAGGGATGCTGGTGGACCATGTCCCTTTAAGACAGTTTTAGCGTGCAGGGAATGCAACTCACAACATGAATTGCTGCACATTTGCTTTTAATTTATAATAGATATGGGCGACTTCACAAGAGAGAATCGGCAACTCATATCGGGGCCTGGGCTTCAGGCGATAAAAAGTATGACGAGTACATTCAAGTCGATCTTGGAAGTGTCAAGGTCATCACCATGGTCGCCACACAGGGACGACCGGGCTGCTGCTTATCTTGGCAGCGCCAGTGGGTTACTAAGTACGCAGTGTCTTACAGTGATGATGCGCATGCGTGGAAAGACTATTTGACGAGCGATTGCATCAAGGTCAGAGAATTAGATTTTTCTTGGTAGCCTTTTCAGAAGGAAAAATTTCATTTTCGTTCTCCCTCGGTAACAATATTGAAAACTAAAAGCACAGGAGTACAAACTAGAGCAAAAAGGAAGAGAGACGCCTGCAGAGTTGGCTATCGTAAATAATCTATCATAAACGCCGGGGGCGTTAATCAATAGTCAGGGGGCGTTTTTGTAGGAAGTAGCCTGCGTAGCCAGGCGTTCCTAGCTGCTCCGGGAGAGTTTGGACCGGAGAAACCCAGAATGTTAGAGTGGGGCGTTTAGAGGGGCAAACTTGTAAGCATAGCCAACACTGTRAAACATACTACTAGTTTTACTAACTATTAGTTTTTCTTTACTGACTGATGGTATCCAGGGGGTGTGGGAGGGGTGGATGGGTGGGGGAGGGTCCACAGGGTGCCCGTGATCCCCCTTGCAAAGCCAAAAAAGCGAGAAAACCGTAGATTGATATACATCATGTTGACGTCGTATGACGGGCATCACGGTGACAATTTGGTATGGCCTTACGGACATCCAGTCATAGCGGACACCTCGATATTACGGACACGAAATACTGAATCCCCGCAAAAAAAAAAACAGACAGTCAACTCTCGCTATTACGGACACCCTCGGGACCGTCATTTAGTGTCCGCAGTAGCGAGAGTCCTAGGAACGAGAGTTACTTTCAGTCATTTCTTTGTATTTTTCGCCGGGGATCCAGTATTTTACTGTTCGCAATATCCAGGTGTCCGTTGTCCGTAAGGCGAGAGTTGACTGTACTAAATTTGCTAAATTACGGTCCCGAGGGTGTCCGTGTAATAGCGGGAGGTGACTGCATTGTATTTTTTCAAGCTCTTGATTTTTTTTATTCAGGTATTCCCAGGAAACACCAATCAAGACACGGTAGTCACCAACAAGTTTGAAAAACCTTTTAATGCACGGCATTTCAGGTTGATAGTTAAAGACTTTTATGATTGGCCAACACTCAGAATGGAATTATATGGCTGTGATAGGCTTTAAGTAACAATGCGCTTAAGAACTAGGGAACTCTCTATTGTTCTGCGGCATTGCAACTTTTCCACGTACGAATGTCTTGATTTTCACAATGATTATWTATCAACCTATGGGTAACACATTTTTGAAATAAAATGTTGAAAAACTCTATTTTGAAACAAACTTTCTTTTGTGTTAAAAGCTCTGATCCAATCATCATAAGCACTCAAAACAATAGCCAAAAGATGATTCTAATTTGCTATGTTCCCCACGTAGAATTGCATTAATATTGAAGCTAAAGAAAGCTTTCATGAAAGTGAAAACAGACATCAAATAGAATATTAGAAACTGCGCTAACTTGTGAAATTATAGCAGATTTTCATGTTYTAACCAATGGGATGDATGGATTATACAATGCACAATTAGCACCTTCTTGCATTCCTTTGCCGTTTGCTTCCCTATAGTTCTTACTCGGGGCATTCCTTAACAAAAAGAACACTTCTACAGTAGCAAGGTAGTTTTATGTAGTATATATAGTTTGTGCTTTAGATAGTGAAATAGATTCTAGGCTAAGAGACACCATAGTTTGTAGAAGGGGAWATRGTTAGGAAGCCGGCCTGTTTTTGTAGTTTTTTTTTAAGCATGAACTTTCACAAGTTTTGTTTAACTATTGTTTTAGTCACTGACTGGTGACATCTGAATGAACAGAGCTAGAATAATTCTTTTGACTATTTCTTCAAAAACAAAACAACAAAAAATTGAAATATTTCATTTTATAAACTCATCAAGTGTTTATGTTCAATTAKATTGCAACTTCTATTGTCCATTAGAGAAAAAATGCACATACAAAATATGTACAAAAGAAGTACAACAAAAGGTTTCCAAACCATTCCCCTCTATTGTTGAACATTCAATATATTGCAGGGTCCGATCCAGCTTGTGAGCGCAGGGAGTGCCTGTCTTCTTCAATGAATTTTTGTGGGGTGCACCCCCTACTGAGTGCCCCGCACCCCCTGGTGAAGATCCTGGATCCGCCCCTGTATTGTGCTATTTAACACTATCTTTAGAATGCTTTATTTTCTTCCCTTTAAAAGCATTCAATAGACAGCTCTATTTATAAAATAACGTTCATATTACGCGCGCTCTGATTGGCCAAAAAGCCGTGTTTGATGAGAGCATAATTTACACGCTCGCGTCAATTTTTTTCTCGGCTTTTTTTTTTCTCATGAATATTTGAGCGCTTGTTATTTTATAAAAGCAATAAAAAACAGTTTTCCGTGTATTAAACTCTGATAAAAACACTTAGGATGTGGGGAGAACACGAGCGAAGCGTAGGAAACCACGACGCGAAGCGTTTTTATTCCTTAAATTTAACAATATCTTTAGAATGTTTTATTTTCTGCCCTTTAAAAGCATTCATAGACAGCTCTATATATTAAAAGTATTCAATCTAAGAAATARCGTTTAGATTCAAATCACTAATTAAATAATCCTCATGTTCATAAATACACATTTTGTTGCAGCTGTAATGTTTGAGAATTATATGTTATGATRCAACATGTGAAAAGCTAAAAATTATTACATTAAAATTCAATTATCATTTGCCATAAATAGACAGGACCTGTTCAATTTATTTGAAAATTGCAGAAATTTGTTGTTAAAAAGATAAAAACTGTTTAAAAATGAATTAAAAGTAAAGTCTAAAATTGACRTCCATCTTTTTCACTGAACTAGTGAGGCCATAATTGCAAGTTATTTTCAAGTCCCTGTCAATACGRCCCTACTTTGTGTCATGTGTCATGCAACTCTATGAAAAAGGGTCCATAACATAATGGTCCTCCTTTATTTCATTATTTGATACCCCTTGGTGTCTTGTCTAAAAAATATCCATTTATGTCCCTTTATCAAAAGGCTCCTTAATTTCATGGTTCTCTCCTGCTTCACCAATTATGGTGCGCTCATTTCCTGCACTCCCATAAGATATGGGCCCATGAACAGGAACATATGGAGTTCTCTTATCGACCTGCGACCTGTAGTACTTTGCTTTCCACACTACAAGTAGTGGTACTGATGCCAAACAAGATCCAAATGTTACCCAGTTGATCCAACTTGTGCCAAAGTGTGGAATCATTGGGAAAATATAAAACACAACTTGTATGAAATTATTGGAAAATGTCAGACAGCCAGATGTTATGCCTTCCGCTATAGGGTATGTTGACTCCACACCCAGTTCAAAGAATAGAGGAATGGATCCATTGACAAAAAAGCCACCCAGAATGCTTGTGACGTAAAGGATGGAGTTCCACAGGGGAAGGACTTTGATGCATACAAGGGAGAAGAGGGCCAGTGATATTGATGCGCCAATCATCAGAAGGATGACGATAGTCTTCATGTGGTTAGTGAAATGGTCAGCAAATCTGAAAAAGAATGTATTTTAAGGAATGGTCAAAAATAAGCTAAGGGGAGGGGGTACTCCTTTTGTTGAATTTGAAAAAAAAAAAAAAAACAAGTGTTATTAAAATCAATCAAAAAGCTGGGCATAATTGCATTTTTGAGGATTACAATTTCAAATATTTCTGGTGGAACATCCCCTTAGTTATATGCCTGGCTCCTTTTAAGAATTTCTGAGTGCATTCCTGTTTACACCCAATGAAACACTCCCTTATGTTAACTACACTAAGAACACTGAARCATTTCTTTGTTTTCTATTGTCTAACTCACTTATTCAAGTTAGCCTTTTCTTTGTGACTTTTTTTAAAGGGACACTGTCAATGGATGACATGTCGCGACATAAATCAGCTCGTAAACGTAAACAGATCTAGAATATTCCAAAGTAAGTCAAAAGCACCACAAACTGATTTACCTCGAAGGCAATACTTTCAAAGTCCGTTAGAGGTGAGACTGTTACTGCGCATGTCATCCATTGACAGTGTCCCTTTAATGTCCCAGTGTGCACCATTATGCTTTGGGGGCCGCGAGGGCCTGGCGGCAGCCATTTTCAGTTCACCGAAAGTCTATACTGAACTGTACTGTGCGTTTCGAATTGTCCCATATCTTTAAATACCATCTCACTTTTCTAAGCACTTTTGTATAATTATATTACTATTAGAGTTTTAAACCATCGGACATTCATTTTATGGTAATATTTGACACAAGAAGTATTTTATATCTAAAATCTTAACAATAACAGAGGCGCGCAAAGCATAATGGTGCAAACTGGGCCTTTAAAGTACTTAGAGAAGACTTGAATAAGCACATCATTATAAGCTTAG